GCCCGAACCCGTGTCCCCTGCATCGGCAGGCGGACTCTCAACCACTGCGCCACCAGGGAAGCCCTGCCATAGTTTTTTATCAGATATTCAAAGGGGTCCTTGACTCAAAAAGAGATTAGAACCACTTGTTTAAAGGATTTGGGCATGTTCAGCTTAGAGAGGGGAGAACATGGGCCAAGAGGTAGGGGGAGGAGAGAGCTGTTTCCATGTAGGTGAGCACTGCCATTTGGAGGAGGGGGATTTGCTCTTGTGGACACGTCTGGGGGAACTCGGACCAGTGGGAGGGAGCACAGGCAGTCGGGTGGGTGTCTGAGGAAGCCTGAGGGCACCTGTTACAGGTTGGGTATATACACAGGGCAGGGACAGAAGGAGGTGGCCTGTGATGGCTGCAAAAGCTTTGTCCAAACCTTCTTGTTCTGAGGAGCACACAACTCTGGGCATTGCCAGGTTTTCCTCATCCTCAGGAAGACCGTGTTGTGGGCTGAGCTTTGCTGGGAGAGATGAACCCCCTGCAGATGCTCAGGTATGCGGCTCTGGGGTGCAGAGGCCCCCTGGAAACGTACCTGCCTTTTTGGAGACAGCGCATTAACTGTCCTTTTAGGTAGTGGGCCCTCCACCCGTCCTGGGGCCTCAGGTGACCCCTCTGAGGTGTGGGGACGTGTTCCTTGGGCATTGCCTTGGGGTGTGCCTAGCCCCTCCCCCTGTCTCATCCGGGGCTGTGAGCCCACCTTTGTGGGCCCTCAGGTGCCCACCTGGATGGCCTGTGGCATCTCTTCCAGGATGTGGAGTTGGGTGAGACGAGCACTGAGTTGGACCTGGGGTTGAGCAGTGCTTCCTGTCTTAGGGGGGCCCTGTACCTCCCTGCAACCAGCATGTTCCCAAGGAATAGCTGGGCTCCTACCTGACTTTGGCACCAACAGAATCTGATACGCTAAATTTGAAAGTGACTCCCATGGGACAAAACTGATGATTAATCGAGTTTGGCCTTTGTCAGGGCTTCCTCCCTTTTTTTTCTTCTCTGTTTTTTTTTTTTTTTTTTTTTTGGTGGTACGCGGGCCTCTCACTGTTGTGGCCTCTCCCGTTGCGGAGCACAGGCTCCGGACGCGCAGGCTCAGCGGCCATGGCTCACGGGCCTAGCCGTGCCGCGGCATGTAGGATCTTCCCGGACCGGGGCACGAACCCGCATCCCCTGCATTGGCAGGCGGATTCTCAACCACTGTGCCACCAGGGAATCCCTGTTTTTTTTTTTAAAGCAGACATGTTTCACCAAGGATGGAATATTCTGGAAGATTGGAATTGGAATCCCACAACCTGATTGAAAGCCATATCCCTTACTTCAAGGGAGGGAGCTAAAAAAAAACCCACTCCTTGGCTTCTCCCGTGAATTTTAAATATTCTGAAAGCTTTGCCCACAAAGGAAACAATGCCTCATTCCTTAAATAATTAAGTAGAGTACACCAAGCATGGCAGTGTGGCCCAGGCCTGGTCATACTGTACCTCTGGGAGCCTCTCAGGGGGAGAGCTTGGCTGGGTGCCCAAGGAGGTTCTCCTCATAGAGAAAGGGATGCAGCTTCAAACAGCTGCCTTGCAAGCAGCCGGCGAAATTGGCACAGCCCTGGAAATGTCACAAAAGCGGATGAAGGTGTTATGTGATATAATGCAAGTTTTCCCCTGAGAGGCTGCATCCATCAGCTGTTTGTATCAGCCCCGTGAATTCTTAGTTGGTCTCATTTGTCCCTTCAGTGCCACGTGACTGCACACGTGAGATGACCGTGTCCTCGGGCCACATCTGCATCCTCCCAACCACTGTAGTATTGGCACTGGTTTCTATATGTACTTGGTGGAGATTTCTGGAGACTGCAGGGAAGAGAAGGCTACTTTATCTTCTGGCAGATGACCCTCTCCTCAGGAGCCATGGTGGCATCTCAGAACTGGCCAATTATTTCCCAGCTTTCTTCCTGTTCTGTAATTACACAGGTTCTTTATCTGTGAGGCCACAGAATGGTGTGCTGGACAGACATAGGTCATGCCAGACAGTCATTGTGGTGTCTTACTTGGATTCTGTAGAAGACTGAGTTCTGCCAGGAGGAAGGGAAGTAATATTTGTTGATTATCTATAGGCATTATTTCATTTAAGCTTCATGTTTTATGGATAAGGAAATGAGTTCAGAGAGGTTAAGTTACTTGTTTAACATCACACAGCCAGGACTCTGAGTGGGCTGGTGGTTATATATGTTGTATTACTCTGAGACTTTTACAATTCCATGACAAAAACAAATTTTGTTTCAAAAGTACAACTTGAGGTTTAAAAGAAAAGAGATGTGTTTAAGGAAGCTCTGTTAGCATACCTTCCAAAGGGCAGGGGTAATAAACAGGTATTTAGTCTGATGTGAACTCATGGCTGTTCATGCAGTTGAGTTTTCTTTTTCTTTCCTTCCTTTTTCTTTTTTTTTTTTTTAAATCCAAAATGTGTTTATTGGGGTGGTTTTCCATTCATCTTGATTCAGGGTGCTTTTAGTGCTGCCTCTGTCTGAAGGAGCATCTTCCTGTAAGCCTTGCTTTTCCTCCTGTAGGCTGGCAGAGGACAGTAGAGCAGCCAACGCACAGAACTGTTTGTGCACGGCTAAAGGCGGTGGTGATTTTATAGCATCCTGGGCATTTCACATCCATGAAATAGGAACTGGGGCTCTGCACCAGGTGCTGCTTCTTGTGTTTCCTCTTCTTATCCTCTGGGGAGGGACGAAGGAGATCCTTTGCAAGAGGTGTATTCTCGTGGGGAAGTCATCACCACCGGAATGCAGCTCAGTTTTCTACAGATTTTGCCCTGAATCTACCGAACCCATTCCTTTTCTCATCCTTCTGTCTTCCAGTTTCTCTCTGGTCCTTTTTCTCAGATTTCAGTAGAGGTTCTCAGAATGACTTAATTCTTCAGTCTTCTTGAGTTGTATGTTGCAATCACATCTATTAAGACAATGTTCAGATCACGTAGTAGGCATCTGAGTCCCCAGTAAGTAAACCTGTTAGGCTGGGTCTATGTCGGATGAGTTATATCGATATTAATCTCGACACAGAGCAGGGTGGTAAGCTCACCAAAGCCCACATTGCTCTCACCTGCTTTTTGGCTGTGAATCAGGATCTTGTCCACACTTGCCAGGGGTTCAAGCTTTAGCTGATTGCCTGCATTGTTTGTCTGAAAGATGCACGAGAACTTTTTTTCCCCCCAAGTGTCCTGGCAGCTTTGCTGTAGCTGGGCCTCTCCTGGCTGTAATAGAAGGAGCCGCCTGTCAGGAACCGGAGCTGGAAGGTGCTTGAGTGACGTGATTTTCAGGACTGGTTTCCCTGTCAGCACTTTATCTCCACAAAAGGGAGTGCTTTTCAAGCCCCTCCATCCTAGGTGAGAAGTCAGACTAAGTCTGGAGTAGTGAAATTTGGTTCTGTCTGCATCTTACAAAAATTGTTTGGTTTATTTGTATGTTTTTTTCCTAGAGCAAATCCCTTACCCACGAATGGCTAAACTAACCTAGTGAGTCATGAGTGCGGCTTGAAGGGGAAGTCACAGACTGAAATTATGATCTGAAACCTAGATAGGATCTTGTTAAGTGTCTTTTGCTGGGAGAAAGTTCATGGTTGAGCATCTTCTAGGTAATCTGTTTTTAGAATGAACTTTTTCAGGTAGCCTCTGAAACTATTCTTGGTAACAGGTAAAATGAATTTCCCCCACATCCATGGGATCGAATATTTGCATGCCAGCAGTAGAAAGCACTGTTTATGCTCAGATCTCCATGTCTGTGGGCTTCTGATGCTTCATGCTTCGTTTTATCAGAAGCAGCAGCTTTATTTAGGTCACCTGTATTCAGGTGGCAGCCAGTGGGAACAGAGCTGCATCCAAGCAGTCTGGGTGGAAGTTACCCTGGCAAGCAGCAGCTTTAGCCCAGCAATGCAGTTCTTAAATATGAACTTTGCTCCTCCATTCCCTCAGTTAAGTAGTATTTACTGAGTACTTCCAGGGGTGACTAAGATGGATTTGGCCTCTGTCCTTGTAGAGCTTACAGTATAGCAGGGGAGATGGATATTGAATAATTACAAAAGTAAAAGTCATTCATTCAACAAGTGTTTGTTGAGTATCTCATATACCAGGTGCTGCAGGTGGTGAACCAGACAAGAATCCCTGCCTTTGTGAACTTACATTTGAACGAGACACACAATAAATCAAACTGTAACAAATAAGTAAATTTTATGGCATATTAGAGGTGAAAAATTCCATGAGCAATAGAGCAGGTAAAGGTGACTGGGAGTAGGAACCGGGCACGGTGGGTGAGTGGGTGCCAGTTGCAGAGGGTGGGATGCATGGAATGAAGATTATAGACGGGTTTGGAGTTATTGATAAATGACAGGTTTTGACAGGGAGTTGGAGAGGCTGAGGGGGGTTCAAGCAGTTAGGAGGCCAGTTGGAAGGATCATGTATATGTGGGTCGAAATGACTGAGAATCAGGAGAGAGAGGGCCTGTGATCCTGAAATCATCCAGAAACGAGGGGGAGTGACACGGGGTTGGTGGTTGACAGCAGCAGTGAGGGGTAGAGGATGACAGAGTCTGATGACAAGAGATTGAAGACCTGGGACTTTGAGGGAGGAGGGAAGAGGTAGAGAGGAGCCTGGTCATCCAGCTGTGCTCTGCAGGAGAGGTACAGGGTGTCGCGAGGGTAGATGGAAGGGTGAGGCTGGGGAAGGCTTCTGTGATAACTTATAATAAATATATATTTGATCTTCGTCTTGTTCCTGGCACAGAGCTCCTCAAACCCTTGGAATTTCCTGTGAAGAGAGCCTTAAAGGTGTCTTGTTATGTTAATGAGGTGACTTGGAAAGCACCTGAGGATGGGGGACCCAACCACATGATTAGAGGGTTGGAACTTTCAGCCACGCTCCCCCACCTCTGGGGAGTGGAGAGGGACTGGAGGTTGAATCGATTGCCAATGATGTCATCAATCATGCCTCTGTAACGAAACCTCCATAAAAACCCAAAAGGGCAGGGTTCAGGGAGCTTCCAGGTTGGTGGACACATGGGCATTTGGGGCGAGTGGCGCTCAGAGAGAGCAGGGACATTCTGAGTCCTTTTTCTATACCTTGCTCTATGTGTCTCTTCCATCTGGCTGTTCCTGAGTTATATCCTTTCATAATAAACCAGTGATCTAGTGAGTAAAATGTTTCTCTGAGTTCTGTGAACTGCTCTAGCAAATGAATCAAACTGTTGAGACCTTGAATCTGTCGCCAGCTGGTGAGAAGCACAGGTGGTAACTGGACTTGTGATTGACATACGAAGTGGGGGCGGGAGGGGGTCTTGTGGGACTGAACCTGTAACCTGTGGGATCTGACCCTCTCTTCAGGTGGATGGTGTCAGAATTGAGCTGGATTGTAGGACACCCAGCTGGTGTCTCAGACAGTTGCTTGGTGGTGTGGGGGGAAACCCACACATTGAAATTGGGTGGAGGGACTTCCCTGGAGTGGTTAAGACTTTGCCCCGCAGCGCCGAGAATGTGGGTTCCATCCCTGGTTGGGGAGCTAAGATCCCACATGCCACGTGGCCAAAAAACCAAAACATAAAAAAAAAAAAGAAGCGGTGTTGTAACAAATTCAATAAGGACTTTAAAAACGGTCCACATTAAAAAAAAAAATCTTAAAAAAAAAAAAATTGAGTGCAGAATCTTAGCTTCCCAGAGGAAGTGCTGTTTGAGAGGGTGGTGGGTGGGTAGATGTGGTCCAGAAAGGTCAATAGGGAGCACGAACTCTGGAATGGTCAGGAGGAGGCCTGCCTCACAGATCAGGGGTGAGTGTGGACAGGAGCTGGAGAGACAAGGGGGTTTCCTGAGTTAGTTGTTTAGTGCTGCAGTGGGAAGAGACCTGTTTGGGTGACTGGTGGCTGCATAGAGACCCAGGTGGGCCAGATGGACATTCTCTGTGACCACCCAGGAGGCCAGCTGTTGAAGCGACAGGTGGGCCAGCTGCTGCCTGCTGCCCCATCTTACTGCCTGGTGGGTGGTTCATCAACATGGTCCAGACAGGCCCCAGGGGCACCTTTAGGAGTTGTGAGCCTTTGGGCAGGAACCTGAAGGTTTGGGGAACTCAGGAGGTATTTTCTGGGTTTTCTCCTGACTGTGGAGACTTTGGGAAGGACTGTGGGGTTGCTGCTGGTGAGCAGGATTTGGATTTCTGGATCATTCCTTAAGGCCTGGGATGACAGCCTTGGTAAGAGATGGATAAAGATTAACCTGTTTGCCCAGAGACCTGCTGAGGTCCTCAGGAGGGCTTCTGCCTGAACATGGTGGTAGGGGAGGCGGCCTGGGGAGGAGGGTCAGGGAACACAGGTGTGGGGCCTCATGCAACAATTGGGAAGGGAGCCTGAGGGGTGTGTTGGGTTTAGGTGACCCCGGTGACTCCCACTTGATAACTTTGTGTGCCCTTGGGTGCGTTACTTAATCTTTTCCCCCTGTTTTCCTCTGTAAAATGAAGACACAGACACTGATTCTCAAGGTTGTTGGGAAAATGAGGTGAGCTATGTATGTCAGCACCCAGCACAATGCCAGACACCGACAGATGGTCAATACATGCCAGGACCTCTAGGAAATACCTTTTCCGAGGTACTGCCGAGATCTGGTGAGTGCATCTCAGCATTGCTGTAGGACATGGAAAGGCATTTCCTATTTAAAAACCAAATGCCTTAGGAGAGGCACACGAATTGCACTGCAGATGTGAATGTGCGTGGAAACCCGTGAATCTGAGGATGGAAGCTTGATGCAGAGCACTTGGAGGAGATAAAAAGGAAGTGGGGAGAAGTCTACACACAGGCCATCTGGGCCTTTGGAGGGGACGGGCAGTGTGTCCTTGGTATATGGGAAGGAGCACGGGCTGTTCTGGGCACACGTAGGCCCCAACTGTCTGGACACCTGCTAGCTGCCTGGGTCTCTGCTAAAAGTTGAGTGTCAGACCTTTTCCAAAAGGTAGAAAAACCTGTCGAAGATCCAGTATGATAAATAGCCCCCATCTGATTCATCATAACCAGAGCACAGTGTGATAGGAAAACATGTCATTCTTCTAATAGTCACTTATTTCTGTCTACTGAAGACCTACCAATGCTGTGTACATTTCCTTCCAAACCTAACGAAGTATAAATGGAACTTGACTGACTGTTTGCTCGGACACTTTTGTTCTCTCTGTGCACCCTTCTCTCTCACCCCTTTGTGTTTTTTTTGTTTTGTTTTTTGGCTGCGCCATGCGGCTTGCAGGATCTTAGTTCCCCGACCAGGGATGGACCCTGGGCCACGGCAGTGAAAGTGCCGAATATTAACCCCTGGACTGCCAGGGAATTCCCTCACCACTTTGTTAAGACATGTTTTCTGGGTGCCAGGCTCTGGCTGTGACATGGCACATAAAACGTAGTCCTGGCCCTTAAGCTCACCCCAGTAGAGCTGTGCTTTCAGGCCAGGCAGAGTGCATTGGGAAAGGTCATTTGTGCAGCACCTGGGGTAAAGGGAGGAGTTGCTGGTGGAAGCCATAAGCTGGGCCTCCAGATGTCCTGTTGCAGCCTGGAGCTGAGAGGGTCAATATATCTCTGCATGCCTCTGTGTGTGTATGTGTGCATGCACGTGTGTATGTGTGCTTGTGTGTATGTGTGCCTGGAAGGAAAACATTACCTAGCAGTTCTGCTGTAGAGAGGGGTTCCCACTGCTTTCAAACAAAGGTCTGCTTGTTTGCTCTGTGGAATTTCACAGGGTCACACCAGCCAGGGGCTAGTCCCTCTGGGCCCTCTGTGACTTGGGTTCACTCAAAGCTCTGGCCACAACTTCAAGCACTTCCTCTATCAAGGTGCTGCAGGGGCTCTGGAAATGAAGACCAGATTCCTGCCCAAGGGGGCTTACAGTCCAATTTGGGGGGTACAGCACACCTATAGCTACCCAAAGACAAGGCAGAATAATATGAGGGCTACAGAGGAGACACAGAAAGCTGGGCTCCAGAGAGAGAATCCAGTCTGGTGGTGGACCCAGGTGCCTCTGATGGAAGAGGTGACCAAATTGCACTTTGTTCTGAAAGGTGGTAGGATTCTGACCCG